GTAGCCATTCACGAAAATCACCTTGCTATACTTTTCCGACAGTTCCCAATGGCCGCCATACCGCTGCAAAGGCGTATTTTTTTTTTTTTCGCCAAACGATTTGTACCAGTATTGCATTTGAATTTTTGGAAAGTATTTGGCAAAATGTGACCGTTATTATTTTTCCCATACTTCTAGTAGGGGGAAAAAGTGCTGCCATACTTGAAATACTTATTTATTTGACACGTTTTAAAAATACGACTGCAAAATACGTAAAATCATTTTTTACATCATGACATCATTGTATTCTCGTCATTTGGATGCAATTGTACGTAAAAAAAATTATTACAGATTGTAAACATGGGGCGGATGAATGTCGGACTTGAGCTAAAAGGTGAAAAAGAAAAAAAAAATTGACGATTTGTACCAGTATGGCATTTGGATTTTTGGAAATTATACGATACAATGTGACCATTATTATATTTGCCATACTTGTAGTAGAGGGAAAAAGTAGCGCCATACTGGTACAAATCGTTCGAATTACGAATAAAATCTTGGGACTTTGAAAAAATATTGTTCACATTCGCCACCTCCCACAGGTATGGCATTATCAGACTTCTATTTATGATCATACGGGGAACTGTTAAAAAAAGTTTCAGGGCGATACAAATCGTTTGGCGAAAAAAAAAAATTACTCCTTATGGCGGCCATTGGGAACTGTCGGAAAAGTATGGCAAGGTGATTTTCGTGAATGGCTACTCGACGATGATTAGCTGTGCAAAAATTAGCCTGGTACAAATGGTTGAATTGTTTTATTTAAATTAATGTATTCGCGTCGGTATGGCGGGCTGTAAGTCACACCCGAGAAGTATGGCATTACGCTACCGCCTACTTCTTTTTTTCGACTATCTGAAAATATAAGCATTTTTGTGGAACAAATCGTTCGACACTCGTTATTTATCCGACGCGTTCGATTCACGCCCACGCGATTGGGCCGCCGGTGCGAGCGCTATGACCATCATTTTCCTTTTTGCCTTTACGTAATTAGACCCCTGAAGAACCGCCATACTGGTACAAATGACCAAGTATTTTGTGTCATCATCTCCCGGTCTATATGTATTTATATGTAAATACATATACATTTATGTGTATCAGTATATGTATTCTATCCGTTACCCTAGTATCCCATAACACAGCCTACAGTGCTTACTTTGGGGATAGGCCAGTTGTGTGTGTTGGAAATATTTATTTATTCATTCTTGTATTTGATACGACTCTTTATAAAATGCCTTTCTATGCGTCGCGTCTGTCAAAAAAAGAGTGTAATGTTTTATAGTGTATTTTTTTCATACACTTCGGTAGCAATTGGCAATATAGTATTGTATATTTAATAAACAGCAATCAGCAATTTTATTGTTAACGTCGAGTATAAAAACGCAATCTCAGGAAAAAGTACGTTTGTTGTATATTTTTGACATTTTAGACCTCTTTTTATACGACTTCCAAAAAAGTAGTGTAATGTTTTCGGGGTTCATGTATGTAAGTTTTGTTTGTCTTTCCTTATTCCACCATAACTTCTAGATGCCAGAACAGGTATGGATGTGTGTGATCGTAAGAATCCTTACACCATCGCGAATGACTTTGGCTATGATTTTTTTAGAGAGGTAGGCAGCTATTTTCAAAATTGTTTTTTTATTCATTTCGTTCGTTAAAAAAAGGTTAATGTTCTTCTATAAGTACTAAACTCTTAAAACGTACAACATCTTATTTATCGTTATTGTTACTACCATCTCCACAAACCTGGTTATCTCTCCTTATCATACACAAAAGTAATTAAATTAAGTAGTTACTTTGTAATTATTATAAATTAGTAAAATTACCTAGTAAGAATTATCTTTTCCTTTCTTCCTTTAACTACATGTCTGACTGACTATAACAAGACGTGTTCTGTAGAGCGTTGCATAAAACGTTATCATTCATAACCATTCCCAGCAAATTATTTTTCATGTTTAATGCCCAGTAGGCCTATTTACTAACTGCTTTTGACATATAGGAGTGATAATCACCGAGCTATTTAGTGTTCTCTACTGCTTTATTAAAACACCACTAAGATACACACTGTAAATGTCAAAAAAAAAATGTTAATAGGCCGGCTGGTGTGATGCCACGCGTTAACCAATGGCAGCCCTAGAGAAATCAGCTGGTGTCGTGTCGTATGGTTCGTTCGTCTGCCGCGCGTCTAGCCGAAGCGGTCGGTGACTCATGCGCGTGCGTTGCGAATGTTGCGATTGCGATGTTGCAACTCACACGCGTTCGCAGCCTCAACAAGCGTTCGTTTTTCTCAGTGATGGCGTTCTACCTATTTGTTTAAAGTAAATGTGTTATAACCGCAATATGAATAAATAGTGTAGAATTGACAAAAATCTACGTTTGATCGTAAGTAGATACAGACGGGTAAAATAGCCCGAAACTGTCAAAAACCTAATGACTTTGATATTTATAATGCTGCCCAGAAGGTCAAGAGGGTCAAGGCCTGGGGCAGCACGCTGCGAGATGGGCGGCTTGAGAATGCGCGTGCTGCAGAAGTCATACTGTGCCATATTTTAATATAACGCCCCTGCTGCTGCTTATCAATTCACAATCTATTGAGGAAATTTGTCAGTTTGTGTCAACTTATATGCGAATGTAAAAAAAAATTACTTTCGCTCAGCAGCTGTAACGACGCTGGTATTCTGTTTATACTTCTTTCAGTTTATATGTAACGTAATTAACGCAAAGTAAGCTCTAAATATCATGCCATAGGTTACGATTCATCTTTATAGGATTTGAAGCAACAACTTTATAATTGATTTTATACCTGCTTCCTATCATAAAATGTTCGAAGTCCGTACTAAGAGTAGGTCTTGGTGGAGTCTGACGGTCAAGTCTGCCCACATATTTTAAGGTACCGCACTTAAAAATTAAAACGAAAACTAAACTAAGCTTTTACTCGCTGTCAATCATTCTATGGATTGTAACTGTACAAAAATAGACAATTGAAATTTTCACAGTATGACTTTTGTTGTTGACTGATTTCTTCTTTATTTGGCGATTCAAACCCCATGCAATAAACGTCATTAAATCTTATGTACAATTGTACCTCCATGTGTGAGTTAAACTTGCACTTGGCTTGTTTTTTTCAGATTGTTTAGTCTGTACGAAGGTAGTGTTTATATTATGCTCTTCACGTTTTTACTCCAACCGGTAAACACAGAGAGCATGCATCCAAGCGTCCATCCGTCGAACACTCGTAAACTTGTCAGTGTGGTGTGGATTTCAACAAAAAAGGATTTTACAACCACATTTTAAGGAGCTAAAATTAGAATTTACTGCTTTAGGTATCTACCGAACTTCCCTTTGATGATATTCTTCGATTACGTAATACGGCTTTGAACAATTTTATGTTTAGAAAGAGTAAAGAGATAATAAATATTATAAAGAGAAAAGTTTTGATTGTTTATTTGTATTGAATAAGCTCCGAAACTACTGGACTGATTTGAAAAAATCTTTCACATTTAGAATCCTACATATTCCCTAATGAAGTAGGCTATAGAATATTTACAAAAAAGTAAGGGTTCCGTGTGAAAATTTCGGCTTATGTAACCAAACGTGTGATAAAAATCCAAAAAATTACGTACGCTGCGGAATTTATTGGTAATAGAGTAGTGTGCTAAAGTTTTATAGCGAGGTGATCAATATCTACAAAAAAAGTCCGCGTGACCATCTTACTATTACAGTTATGTTACAATAACTACTTCTTCATGTTAAAATATGCAATAGTAACGCCGGTACAAACTAGGCCACATTATCCATACCTGGGTATTAATCCTTATCCAAATAAATAAATAAAAGACTATATCAGGTGCATGTAATACACTTTTTACATAAGACCACTCCCAAGTTTCATACCATTCAGAGAAGGCAGGGATCTATAGTCTACAGGTCTACACCGAAGCGAAACGAGGGCAGGTCTCTATTACTAAATACAAATCAAGACGGGATATTAAATTCAATATTTAACAAAAACTAAAGCGATGTCTGGTTTCATTTCGGTATATTCGGTAAAAACTATAAATTAAAAAAATATAAATATTTTCAAAAGAAGTTCTTTGAGAAAAATCTCGTTCTCTTAACTCGTTATAAGCGCTACCTAGTGTTGCTCATTTGCTCCCTCAGAAATATACTACTTAATCCATTAATAATAAATAAACAAATATAATACTAAATATTTCCAACACTCACACCAATTAGCCTAGCCCCAAAGTAAGCACTGTAAGGCTTGTGTTATGGGATACTAGGGTAACGGATAGAATACATTTACAGTACATATATAAGTATATTTAGATGGAAAAACATATGAAACATCCATGACTGGAGTACAAATGCTCGTATTCATCACACAAACATCTGCCTTCACCGGGATTCGAACCCGAGACCTCTCGAGAGGCGACGCCTTGAAACCCGGCGTACAAACCACTTAGCCATGGAGGTCGTCATTAACTTATATTTACATAGATAAATAAATAAGCAAATGCATTTCATTATTTTAGAAACACAAAATTAACACAAACGCAGGGATACACACAATCGCTCTCCCTCTATTGCTCTATTCTCTCTCTCGCTATGCTACCTTGAGTCTTCTAATGAGACCCATAGGCTAGTCATCACCAGCCAATTAATGTCCACATTGCTGCGGCACAGGCCTTTCCTATGGAAAGAATAAGGAGATTGGGCCATGACGCACCACGAGTCCAGTGCGGATTAGTGGGGCTAAGGACTGCCAATGCAGCCGGTACTGACGTGCCTTCCGAAGTACGAAGGAGCTCGAGATAGTAAATTTTTGCTCACCCATTTAATGGCAGATCACTGCGTAAGTTCCTTTACTTCAACGATCGCAGCCGAATGCGCTAACCATTTGCGCCATCGAGCTCCTCCATAGGCTAATGATGATTCATAAATAAATATTTGTTAATTTGGTCCAGCCGGGATCTGCTGGACGGGTATGGACCGCGGCGGGCGCTGCAGCTCTGTGGCCGCGTTGCGCGTGGGCCGCGCCGAGTGCTGCGCGGGCGGCGCGCGCGCCCCCGCCGCCTGGAGCCCCAGGGACCTCGACAGCGGCGAGATATTCTTCTACAAGGCGCTATCTGGAGGGGTGCCGTGCACCGCTTGTGCGGGTAACAATTTTTTTTACACACCAATTAGCCTAGCACCAAAGTAAGCACTATAATAAGGCTTGGGTTATGGGATACTAGGGTAACGGATAGAATACATGTACTGCACATACATAAGTATATTTATTTAGAAATACATATCAAACATCCATGACTGGATTACAAATGCTCGCATTCATCACACAAACATCTGCCCACACCGGGATTCGAACCCGGGACCTCTCGAGTCGGCGACAACCTGAAACCCGGCGCACAAACCACTCGGCCACGGAGGTCGTTAATGTCAATGTCTTTACAAGTTGTTATTAATTGTCAATCCCACTAATATTATAAGTGTGAAATGTTTGTACGTTTGTTACTCAATCACGCAGTAACTACTGAACGGATTTTGATGTTTGGTACGCATATAGTTAATAACCTGTACTGAGACTTTATCCCGAAAAACGTGAAGTTCCTAAGGGAGTCTCAAAAAACTAAAGTTAACTTGGCCGAAGTCGCGGGCGGCCGCTAATTATTTTATAAGACACTTAACGGGTATGATACTTAGATTAAAACAAAAAGGATAGATACGGCACTAGCCTCACAAAAGTGATCCGCATGAATTGTGGTCCACGACCCTAATCGCTTTAGTCACAACTTGACATGCCAACGACATACATGTGAACGCCAAAAAGAAATATTGCTAATATTTTGTGTTTATATGATAAAACAATGCTTAAGTATGTTTTTAAAAAGTGCTCAAATTGCTCAAGAACTAAAAATAAAACCCACGGCATCACTTCATTCCTAAGTACTATAAAATATATGTTTTCATAAAAAATGCTGTTTGTTTTAAATCTTATTCGGTAGTAACGTCGAGTACTGGTCGCGTGATTGGTCGGTAGTGCAGTGAGGCGGATCTCGCCGCCTCGTTCGCGCTGCCGTTGAAACTTAACGTGCTGTTTCGCTCAGGTCGGTAATTCAGTGCCGCGGATCTCCACGTCCCGTTCGCGCTGCCGCCGTGGGATCAGTTTTTGTTTGATGCAAGTATGAGCGTACCGTATCTACCCTTTTTGTTTTAATCTAAGGTATGATACGCGTTTACTGAAGTATTTAGGTACGTTACAAATCTTTTTCAGGGTCTGTGATAAAAAAAAACAAGAAGAAGTCTTGTGATCAGAGAATCTGAAAATAATCCGAAACAGAAAGATTTGGGTAAAAAAAGGCCAATGGACGCGCTTCATACCCGCTTAAAAATGTTTTAGTAAAAGATTTGCATGATTTAAGATAGGCATAGATAAGTAATAAAAGGCAACGTTTACTATACTGAGTTAACAACGCATAGCTCCAACTACTGAACGGATCTCCGCAGTCCCCGCAGTCGTCGCTTTTTGTTATCCGCACCGCAGTCATTGCAATCATTCTTGCCGCCGCACGCATCGCACTTGATTTCTTTCATTCAGTTGATGCGAATGACGTCATCCGCGCCGCGCTAGCCGCAGCGTCCGCTGCGTGCGGGCCGACGTTGGTGACGTCATCAGTTGCGGATTGGGGAGTTCGGTTGTTTCAGGGACTGCGGCGACTGCGACGCGGGGGGGTGTGCGAGGTTGCATAGAACTTTATATAAAGAATTCGAATGCGAAGTCAGCGGCGCGTGCGGTGCGGCCAAGTCTGCGTTCACCTTAAGAAAGGATTTTCTAAGGGATGAAAGTTTTATAAAACTCCGTAAAGTTTAAAGATAGAAATCTGAATTTTGGTAAATGAGCATAAGCTCATTTCATTCACCAATTCAAATATCAATAATTCAAATATAAAATATAGTCAATTGGTAAATTTATTTTTGAGTATTCATCCACTAACTAGGGGTTAAAATACGAATATATTTAAAAAAAAACAGTCCCTGAAACATATCTCATTAGATGCTCGCAATACCTCGTGTGTATATTTCGTAGCTTATTTTTTTTCCAAATTGTCTTTCAAATACAAAAAAATCAATATGGCATGATTGTAATTTGTTATAGCAAATCAATGATGAAAATAAAATTAAGGTAAAAAAACCTTTTTAAAACAAGCTTTTATTTAAATGCGCTAAAAAGAAAAAAAAATGAACTTTCACACTAAAACTGTAACTGTTAACTTATAACGTCATTTCAAATTTAACACATTTGACACAATTTATATGTTATAAAAGCTTGTCGCGAGATTTAAGTACTCGTATTTACTTTCTTAGTTTTAAAATTTTAATAGGCTTCTCCTAGACAGGTTGCAAACTAATGCTGTTGACGCCTATCCCGCCAAAAGAATATTAACCAGTTCATGCTACAACCCTAACTAAACCAACATGATATCATATCAATTGCTTATACCCATACTCAAACATGCACATACGTACATACATTCATACATACACACATACATACATACATTCATACATACATACAGACATATGTACATACATTCAGATACCATGTAAAGACAAAATATACTCGTCAAGAGAAGATTATTCTCAGCAAGACCTTTCATTTGATACCCATATTGTAGGCACGAATAAAAGAAAATTATCCGCCATTTTGGGTGTTCTGCCATCTTGGATTTAGAATGACGTCACACAATTAACTATGCATTGCCATCCAAACTGAAGGTGTATGCAAAATTCCAGCTCAATCGGTAAAAAATATCTGTTACAAAATTGATTTTCAAGTTTTATAAGTCCGCCATATTGGATTAAGAGTGACGTCACACTTTTTTCCAGTTACTCTCAGTAAGCCCTTTAATTTGATACCCATATTGTAGGAATGCATTAAAAATGATTTGTCCGCCATTTTGGGTATGCCGCCATGTTGGATTTAGAATGACGTCACACTGTTAATCATGCATTGTCATCCAAACTGAACGTGCATACCAAATTTCAGCTCAATCTGTTGAGGGCAAGTGCCTTAAAATGGAGTTGTAAGATTCCACCCGAACAAACATACATTGCAAGTTAAATAAAAGCTTGTAAAAATCCAAGTAATTGTAAGGGTTTTTTCTAAATTCCATCCTTGTTATGTTTATTTTGATTTATCTAATTAGGGTAAATTGATTTCCAGTTTTTGATATTGTCCATTGTGTAATTAATTAGAACAAAGTGCCAATGTCTGATAAACTTATCAAGTAGTTTAACTTTATAATAGCTAATTATATTATTATTATCGCAAAAGTAAATAGCAAAAACATAGATAAATATAATAAATTTTATTTACGCAGAAATTTTAGTTTGCCTTTAGTAGCAATAACTAGTTTATCATCATCATCATCATCATATTCAGCCGATGGATGGACGTCGACTGCTAGAAGTAAACCTCCACTAGAGATATCTAACAACAAGGGTCCTGTGCTTCCCGCATCCAGTGGGTCCCCCGACTCGCTTGATGTCGTTAATCCACCGGTGAGAGGTCCACCGATTGTGCGATTCCCGGTGCGAGGTCACCCAACCCCTTGGGACCCCAACATCCACGAATTCGCCGAACAATGTTCCCCGCAAATTGCCCCTTCAGTTTAGCGATCCGTTGAGCTACGTCGGTCATTCTAGTTCTTCTACGGATTTCCTCGTATAGTAGAGAAACACGGTTCGCTTAGAAAAACTGTCCATCATTCCCTGTGCGACTCTGAGCCTTCTTATGAGGTCCATTGTCAACGACCACGTCCCTTCGAAGAAGTCTTTTGAAGACTGAAGATCATAAGTAGTTAGGTTTATGATAAAACTTACCTACACCATAATAGGGACGCCATTTTGGTAGAAAAAGCTGAATTAAATTTATGACCACAACTAGATTATTCAGGGCAAGGCTTGAATACAATCTCGATTTAAGCGATTTTTACAAGTCGATAATATTGAGACCATCTCTATAAACATGGGTGCTGTTTTTTTATTAATCGATTTAGTTTTTTTTTAATAAGTATTTTGCTTGCATCTATATTTTGGTTTTATTTCTATTAATTGAGAGCAGCGGTATGAGGAAAAGGAGAAGAACAGGATTTCAAAAACAACCGCGCAAGGAATTACAATTAAGATTTTAATGTAGTTTTTATAATTATAAACAGTTTCACTTTCTCATTTAATTTTTAGTTATATTCTTTAATTTTCTCAATGTTTTTTTTAATTGCGAACAGAATCGTGTGCAGACGTGTCGTGTGGCGCGGGTCGTCGATGTGTGGTGCGCGGCGGACGGGCAAGGTGCGTGTGCGCAGCCGCCTGTCGTCGAGTAGGCGCCGTGTGCGGTACAGACGGACGCACCTACTCCTCGCTGTGCAAGCTGCGTCGACGCGCCTGCAGGCGGAGAACCAAGCATCTGACGCTGGACTACCCGGGGCCGTGCCAAGGTAAAAGCGTCTGTCGTGATATTCGATTCTCAAGTTTTATGCACCACAAGTTGTCACCAGATGAATGGACGCACCTAATCCATGCTGTGCAAGCTACGTCGACGCGCCTGCAGGCAGGAACAAACCATCTGACGCTGGAGTACCCAAGCACATGCCAAAGTAAGCGCGTGTGACGAAATATTGGAGTCTCAACTCTTACCTGGTATATATGCACCACAGGTTGTAGCCAGGTGGATGAAATATATGGAGACATCTTCCCTGTGCAAACTGCACTGGCGCGCCTGCAGGCGGAGAACCAAGCATATGACGCTCGACTACCCAGGCCCATGCCAAGATAAGTGCCTACGTGACGCATCACGCAGTGTGACGTCATAGCCGCGTCTCAACTTTAATTATTTGGATATTAAGATCCACTTTTCATAACTAGTGACAATACAATTCACCTCGTTATTGTAACGGTTGGGTAATGTAACGCAGAACTCAAGGCGTGTTTGTTGGTGTGCTTCACTCAATGTGCTTCACTTTTTTCGAGATTTTTCACTTTTTCAATTTGTTTCTAGTGTATAAATGTTTGGACACTTAAACCGAAGCCTGCTGCTATGTCTGACGTGCTTTGCGTTGGATCTTCTTACACGATCAGATTCTTTCCTCATTAAATATTCGTTGTCAACTTTCTGCTTGTTGATATCCAGTCGTCCTCGGGGACAAAAGGTTCAGAATGTAAAAATATACTGTGTTTTCTATTACAGTAGCTTCCTCATACTCATAATTAATCCTCCGAGCTTTGATTATTGAGAGTAAAAATCAGACGTCTGCCTGCGGCGACTGACAAGTGCTTTCTGAAGCGCATGGTCGGGGCCGACCACTCGCGACCAAGGCCATTAATTACTCATCAACCAAATATTGGTCGGTCAACCGATTTTTACAATATCCATTTTTACACCAGCCCGACCAAGGCCACGATAGTCGGTGATTGGTCCTGATCGTGTAGAATGCTTTTAATAGGCTGATGATGAACAGACCAATGTCAAAGAAAAATCAAATGGCGTGAAAACACATGAATCACAAATTTTGAACACAAATACACAATCCCAAATTTGAAATTAATTTTTGATTTGGAATTCCTAGTTATATATTTGAGATCAAAGTGGCCAGTTCGACATAACATCTATTTCATACGTAAGCATCTAATAGTTAGAATATACCCCCATATAAATGAACGGGTCCTATTTCTTGTTTTGAAGAGTTCCTCGAAATGAGAAATATTGCTCCATGTTGGCTAAGTTACTATTTCTTACGCCATCTGTTTTCGCATCTAGACATGATGAAAGTTCGAGTAATTTCCCAGATTTTCCAAAAACTATACAAAATATAATATCAGCCCAAAGAAATTAGCTTTTACTCGATAGGTACCTACTACACAACACAAGATTATAAACATTATCTAAATAGCAATGTATCTCCAGATTTCCAATGCAGTTTATGTAAATATTTAATTACATTTCCAGACGGAAACGAAACCAGTTAGTAATAAGTAGTTTGTGACGTTCATTATTCGTTTTATCTTTATACAATGCAAATTTAATCATTTTTCAATACGCCTGGAACCGCAGAAGTTGACAATTTATTACAAAAGTACCCGAGTACTATTAAAGACACGATAATGAAGATTTCTTACTATGTTGCTCAGTTGAGATAAGGACTGTTTTTGTGACCCTTAAGGGATACTAACATCATAAACATAGTCATCCGACATGTTAGGTTTATTTGCATATCTAGAAGTCTTATATGCAATAAAAAATAACTTCAAACCCCAAGATACATTTGCATCCTAAGTAAAAAAAATGTAGCTACATAAATATTGAATTCATAAACAGCATGTTGTATTAATAAATCTGCTATATGAATTTTTTGCGTTTTAGGGGGATATACGAAGTTAAAATGTTCAAAGAAAATTTTTTCATCATTATATTTTCGGAATGTACGTATATTTGAGTATATTCTCTGAAAATTTCAAATAATTCTGGCAATATTCTTGGAGATACACGCATATTTTGAAGGAATCCATGTAAGTATGTGTAAACGTCTTTTGAAACTTTTAATGCGTTTTTTCAAAACAATATTTTCTTTTCAGAAACGGCTCAACCAATCGGTCTAAAATTTTAACACAACCTTCTCAGATACATTCTTCTGGGATTGATTGAAGCAATAAGATATGTGATAATTATTTCTATTTTTAGAAACAATTTAACGAAAACAATTTGGCCGAAATTTGGATTTTTTTCTTTTCAGATTTACCATTTTGGCAAAAGTATAAATTTTGTCTATTCCTTCGATCAATACCTAGATTGGATTTTGTAATTTTAGATAAACCGAATCAGAGATATGTTGCTCACCACTAGACTTTTAGGTGTTCCACCAGGAATTACTTTTAATTAGGAACTACAGGAGCAGTGTAAATTAATATTTTATTAAATTAAAAGCACCTAATTAAAGTAAAAAGTTACCGTTATATTTATTGAATAGGCTTGTATTTAAATCTAAAGAAAATATAACTAGAAACATTTGTATTTGTTAAATTAAATCCCTATTCGAAAAAAAAAACGCTTTTTTTGGCCTTACCATTGCGTGTAACTGTAACACAAAGCATAGGTTAAAGCATAATTTAATATCTATTTCTTCTGTGTATTCAAGTTGCAGGTTTATTACTAAAACTGTTTAATAAAATTGTATACCATTTGATATCATACCATGATCAAACGAATATTAAAACTTTTATGGATGCTTTCAGCGCGCCTAGGGCACGTAGCAACCGCACAGCGTATTTAAGGCACAGCCGAATGACGCTTGTTTAAAGCCCCATCAAAGTTTACCGGCTCATTATGAACACGCTCAGACCCAACAACCTATTCCGTCAGCCTATTGGCCGGCACTTTGTTGCAAACCAATCGATAATTTAAAGACGCCTCTATGACCGCTGCTGGCATTACCAGCCACCTATAGCCAAACATCACGTGCGTAATCTTGAGTATTCTTGAGCCTTCGCACCTGCAGACATGGATTAGGTAGCGAGTAGTTAGTATTTATTATAGGTATTTAACAAGAAGATTGAATTTGATGTTCTGTTTCAAAGCAATACAATGTTCTTCTTTTTACCCGACTGCGCAATGCAAGAGCGAGTGGATTTCTTTCAAGTAAAAATTTTCTTTACATTCACAAATCGAGCAGTTTAATCAACGATATTGAGATTAATGCTTAAAATATAATAAATAATGTACAATAGACGCCTTATGGTGAATGAGTTTTCGAAATCCTATACCCCTAGCACGAACCAATATCGAATTCGAATAGTTTGCGAGTCCGAAATGTCATTGTCAAATATCTAATGATTTTTAGTTCTCGTTACGTCCTTTGTGGCACTGCTGTTCAAGTTTCCATACAAAATTTGACAATGATATTTCTTACTCGCAAACCATTTGAATTCTATATTTGTTCGTTCTAAGTGTACAGTTGTTTGTTACAAACATACAACTCTTGCCCCTTTATTATATTAGTCTAGTGTGGACTATAGTTTTTGTTCCTTTTTATATAATAGCCTATGACACTAACTCATAACGTGACTTTCTATTAGGAAAAGAATTTTTAAAATAGTTCAGTAGATCCAGATATTATTAAACATCCGTCTCATACACCCATACTGGTTGACTGGTAGAGACTGCCTATGGCATTAAGTCCGCCATTTACTGTATATTGGTAATAAAGAATTTAAAATAAATAAATAAATAATTACCCCCTAGGACCTCACAAACTTTACCTCTTTATAATATTAGTACAAAGTACCTTTAGAAAATCTGTTTAATTAGATCTTATTCATGCGATTTTAGCCTAAGAGCGGTTGACAACCAACTTTTTCAACAGAAGTTGCTCGCGTAGTTTCCTATCGCTCTACATGTGGTATGTCTGAAAACACCTTTTTCACAACTAAATTCCTAATTTCCGCAATTGGAGCGCCCATCTGAGGTAGCAACCTCCACCTTACAATAGACCACATTAAAATAACACTATCTTTTATGAAGTGATGTTGTGTTTCTGCTGATGAATAGGGTTCCAAGAATCCGCAGGGTAGGATTAGGTTCAAGCCGGCAGGAGATAATGGCTGGAGCGGCACATTTTCTGCCGCATCGTCTATCTTCGCGATTGGATCCACCCCCTTATTTGTTGCGCCTCGTATAAAAAAAACGAGCGAGCCTTACAGTAGTCGCGTATGATGTGTAACATTTGAAATCTCATCTTATTTTATTAGTAAAAAAAGAAATAAAACCTACTACAAAAGGAATAAGCCATTTGAACATCATGTTCTAAAATAACGCGCGCTTTCGCGACTTCCTGTTACACACTTCCGTCCCATTTCACGAAATCACTCCCACAAATTGCAGGAAAACGAGAGGAAAGATGTTACACATCAAAAAAACTTAAAAGTATACAAAACCAATCTAGAATAACTTATTTTCGTCTAACATTAGCAAGGTTACGCATACGCATATCGACACTGGGTAGGTGGTAGGTATAAGTAGTTTATGATTTTTCTTGTTCATCTACAAATAGTTCGCGTCTGTTAACGTGAACATGTTAACGCGTTTGTAAATAGGTCAACGTCGAACGTCGATACCTATTGCAAAACATTTTCAGTACGCCGCGACTGCATACTTACGTATTGTACGCAAAGACAAAAGGCCTGTTTCTACGTACCTAACAGATTTTCGATGAAATATTTACCTCGGTAATTGTGTTGTTATGAGAACTCAACTTCTAATAAATTTCTTAAAGTTGAACACATCTTTTGGTTTTCCTTCATCTTTTCACACACTACACGTTACACGTGTGTGAAAAGTTCTATAAGTTTTCCCCGAAAAATGCATTGTTTCTTGAATATTTCACGTGGTAACTTTCGAGTTTGGCGTTAAGGACGATTTTGGCGTAAGCCATTAAGTAAGTTTAACAAGCTATTAAGTAAGTTTAAAAATGCATAATTTGTTAATACAAAATGTGTATTTTGGAATTACATATCAAATAAAATTTTAGTTTTGATTCACTATTTTAGCGGTAATGGCTTACACATTAAAAATAGATATAAGCTATTAAGTATTCCGTTGGTATTGTGTATAGTGATATTTTAAACCCAGTATTTTGTTTGTTTTATATAAGCTACAATTTTATTCTAAATGTTTTTTTTGTCATTTAATACTTATTTTCAGTGTTATTCATGAAAAACCGTCTGAACACGTATTTTTTGTTCAAAAGTTGACTTTTGACCTAAAAATGGGTGGCGTCCACTCTCGGCACTTTAACAAATTGGAAGCAGAGGGTAAGTAGAACCCAAGTTTGGCAGAATTGCCAGGTTTTCCCGCTTTTTCCGACCAACAAATTAATTATATGCTACCTGAATTTTAATTAATTTTACAACACGGAAGGTAGTAGCCAAAGCGACATAATACCATAAAATCAATCTGCCACTTTTGAGAGAGGGGGGGCGGGATATGATGCAGTTTAACTGTCATGCGTAAAAAACAAAACCGTAATCACATAATTAAAGAAACGTACAATGCGCTGTAATAACACTCCCGCTGTCTATATAACACTCACACATAAAAAAATAAAAAATGACGCAACACATCACCAAATCCTGCACAAATATATCGTTTGTATGTCCACTTCATCAGCAGCGGGGTAGGCTGTGTATACTTACTCGCCTCCTGGTTATGTTGCTCTTTGATCGCTACGTCGAACATACTAAGCACCCTATCAGGCGTAAGAAATAACTAGATTTTTCCATAGAAACTTTGTCATGGCGATATGTATACTTTCTCCTAGTTGTCTCGTTCTTGGGATATACAGCAGGCGATCGTGGCCGCTCACAAAATATGCAAGCAAAATTTGTCGTCCAGCTTTACGTACCTATCACATGCTTTACGATAAAATAAGACAAAGGAGTACTTATAATAAAACTTTACCCTAGGCAATCGAAATCTAAAGTACAGTGAGTTGTAAGTCTAAAATAAGCGGGTACCTAGCACCTCATACAGTGCTATTTTATGCTGCACCATAATTTTTACAGTGCCGACTACTCACATCTCAATGCATCACCAACAGGGCTGTGAATTGCATTTATGTTGAAATTGTGTATAATTAAGTTTGGATAAAATTTAAGGTACAAATATCGCTAAGATGTAAAAAAATAACAATATCGCCGCTAAAACGACAAATTCCGATAAAAAAAAATGCAGCAGTGCTTGCAGTTTTTTTACGTGTTATCCAAACTTAAGAATATAGTGGTGGTGCGCCTGGGCAGCACATTATTTGTTTTTTCAACTTCTTTCCTCGACCTTTATTAATATCAGGCACAAAGGCACGCTTGATGTGCAAGTCCAATTCACATTTCACTGTTAGTTCGGTAAACCTTTTAAATGTTTCTGGTACGAATTTGAATAGGTACTCTGACTGACTATTAGAAGTCCCTGTGAAATATACTGACAACCCTTGTCGTGACTCGATAATGATGCTTTGATACGGCGCTGGCCCGGCGCTACCAGCCGCATCTCGCCCGGGGTGCTTCTTGTGAATGCCTGAACATTTTTAGTACGCAGTTAAACAAGTTTGAATTTTGAAATTGAGTACCAATCATCCTTTCTATTCTTAATCACTAAATAATATTATAAAACATATTTCCCCCTTCCCTTCCGCTGTCTATAGAACGCGTTCCAAAAACTAGGTACATTACTGAACGAATTTATTTATTTATTAAAGGTCTGCCAACATTTTTACACCTTAACTTACATAATCACACTTATATGTAACAATTTTCAGCATAGTGCAAAAACAATTACTGGAAAACTCAACATGAACAAAAACACGGAAATACATATATATAAAAAGTATTACACTGGCACTATAACTAAAGGATATTTAATATAATTCTTACATTTGTCTATTCGCCTGTAACAACCAACTCACCACACCAATATCATAAATAACTATAATTTTCATGCTGTTTTCACAATCAGATATTTTTTTACGAAAGGGTTATATGTAGGTACACGTGTACATAGATATTAGAACAATCGGGTCATTTCTCAAAAAATATAATAATCTGCTCTGTTTTCGTTAGAATCGACACTTATTTGTGTTATAAACAAAGTTGCGAGAATTACTCAACAGTGCCAAGAAGAAGTACAATTTAAATTTACACAAGTGACCATCGTAAACAGACTATAATAGCTCATTCAAATGGTTCAACGATGACTCGCAGAATTATATTGACCTGTTTTAATATATCTTTTAAATAATTATCTCTCTGGATAATTCACAATTGTTTATTTCCATTTTCCATACTAAACAGAGCTGCAGTACGTACTCATACATGCAAGCTAAGTAACGCATTCAATACACGTAGGTAACAATCACTCACAACCAAATATTTGCAAAATAAATTCTCCTATCGAAGAAGATTCAAACGAAATTTTGAATGCTCATGTTGTGATAACGAAATTTACAATTACAGAAACTGCTACTTCAGAACTTGCGAGCGAATATCAAGAGCTTTTTTTATATAAGAGATTTATTAATTAAAATACCTGTAATTATAATATATCACGTCTGTTAAACACTTTTACTACTAAAGATTATTTATTTAGGATTTAGTAGATAGAGGTAACGCTTAAAAAATCCAAGTTCCTTCCAAGATAATTACAATCGCAATGCATGCTGTACATTATATTACCTGAGAATGAAACAAATGATAAACCGGCTATTGTAAATAGTCATTCGTGATCACTTTGATATAAAAATATAGCCAACGCTGCCGGCGGCGTAGACCGATTCAAGAGGTGATAAACTCCATGTAATCTAAACTCAAAATGTAGCCATTTGATCGCTGTCTAGACTGAACTAACGCCAGCCTTACCACAATAAGATACAATCAAGCGAGAAAAGCATAGGATATTTACAAGCTCGGCTACCTACAAGTTTGTCTGATTTCTACTCCGTTATTATGTTACATTAAGCGTTGTATTTCCTATTTTACAACCACCAGTTTTTATCCGGCTGGAAGGACCAGCCATTACGGCTGTTATAAGCATTGCGGTAACTTTATAGCCACTTCATTGTTTTGTCTATGAATATCCATGCGCCGCCTACCCGACGTTTGTAAGCTTACGGATTTCAAACAGCCGTCTTTACTCCGGTGTATATAAGATATCGAGTATATTACCTAATAAAATTTTAGTGGTCGCTGTAATTAATGTTGGCAAGGTCGAATATTATCTATAAAGGTAAAGCCGACATTAAAAGTTCTTTCACCCAAACATATTATAACAGCTCAAGCTTATACCAACAAACCAAAAACCATGAAGCGGCATTGCTGTGTCACTGGAATTGCTGATGTCCATGGGCGACACATCAGGTGGCCCGTCCGCTCGTCTGCTTTCGAAGGCAATTAAATAAAACCCATTTTCCTTTTTTTACAGAAGGTAGCTGCGATCTCGTGCGATGTGGAGGCGATAAGCGATGCGTTCTAGACGCAGAATTGGGGGCACACTGTGTGAGGTGCGGCTCTTGCAATGTGGCCGGATCTCCGGTGTGCGCCGTTGATGGCAGAACCTATGCTGGCTTCTGCGCTTTGAGGAAAGCTGCGTGCGAACGCGGCAGAGCACTACCTCTGGCTTACAGAGGTCCTTGTATAGGTAAAATGAACTATATTATATTCTGGGATTTTATATGTTGTGTTATGTTATGTTTGTGTTTCTGTGCTAGATTACAGCACGCGAGCTGTCAATACATATTGTCGAGTAGGTTACTGTTCTTTCTAGACAAAGAATTAAGTAAATGATAAACTAAAATCGGTTGAAGTTCGTAACATAGATATATGGAAAACCTTCGAATTATTCGAACTTTGGCCATTTAGAGAAGTCACAGAGAAGACCACGGTTAAGAATTCCAAGATGCTTGTCACCCTTTGTAAGAAAAAATATTTAAAAGAGGTATTTCGACCGATTCTTATCATTTACGGCTAGTGTTATTTATCACACTCCAGCAAGAGATGGGATGGGTTTGTTGCCTAGAATTTTCTATTCTTTAGATTAAAACATCTGTTACTAATAATCGAAACCAGATTATCCTTCCTTCTAATGAAGGTTTCGATTTTATCTTTAGATTTATCTCAGGTTCCAGTTCTTCTCTTACCTGGGGACTATTCTGTAAAATTTTCACGCGCGGATCCGTTGCGTTTCCACGCGAATCAGTATGGGAAACGCGCGGATCCGCGCTTGAATATTTGACAGAATAGCCCCGCTGTTCTTATTCATCTGGTCAGATAGTAGTTGAATATGTTCAAGTATTCACTTATATCAATTATCAAATCATTAACGAGGAACTCTATGGTGCAAGTGTTTAGCGCATTCGGCCAGCGATCGTGAGAATTAAGCAAGTTTTGTAATAGCCGGTTATAGGATAGCTGACCAAAATTTATCGTTTGAGCTCCTACGTGCTTTAAAAGGCATGTTGAGCCGTTGATTCCGGTTGCATTTGCAGTCGTAAGCAACCACCATTCTGTCTCCCGCGCGGTGGATCATGGCCCAATTTCCCTATTCTATCCGCAGGTTGTGAGAGCATTAACAGGCTGATGATGATATTTTGTTGCGAACGCGACATGCGGAATGATAAAGCGCGGATAGGGCCAGTGCTGCATATTGGGCGGCGCTAGCAACACGCGGCGTTCCTGGCGCCATAAAGACGTACAGTTGTGGAAACGCCTGTTGCAAAAAAAAAAGAAAATACCCAAAATTTATGCTAATGATGATGACGTTATTTTGTTATTTCGCAGCGAATGCGACATGCGCGATGATAAAATGCGGGTCGGGGCAGCGCTGCATATCTGGTGGCGCGAGCGGCGCGCGCTGTGTTTCGTGCGGCTCATGCGAGGGAGGTCGTGCGCGCCGTCAGCTGTGTGGCAGTGACGCGCGTACTTATCACTCGTGGTGTCAACTACAACGAGCTACCTGCCACGCGGGCCGCGTCGTCGACCCCATGCACCCGGGCGCTTGTAAAGGTAACTATGGCAATGTGCGCGCTTATCAATGACAGTATCCAAACAGGGCTACCTGCCATGCGGGCCGCAGCGTCAATCCCATGTACCCGGGCGCATGTAAAGGTAACTATAGCAACGTGCACGCTAATCAAGAGCCGCATACAAGCAACGCTTGCCATCAGCCTGTGTGGCAGTGACGCACGTACTTATCACTCGGGCTACATGCCACGCTTTTTTTTTGACTGTGTATGCTGTTGGTCGCAGATGACTTTTACAGCGTCACCGGGTTTGGGGACGGCGAGATCCTAAAGGGACCTCAAGCCGAGATTTGGCGAGTGCCTCAGATATGCAGAGATATTTCAGGCGGATGGCATCTCCCCACGAAGGAAGTCTCCTCTCTGTCTGAAACCTCTAGACCACTCGACCACTGCACGGGCGCGTGTAAAGGTAACTATAGCAACGTGCGCGCTCATCAATACAACATCCAATCATCGTTGCAGCCAGACCCGTCTTTCCCAGTGGGCACTTTGGGCAAGTGCCCAGGGCCCCGTGATCGATAGGAGGCCCCCTCAGATCAAATACAAAGTCCCTAGTTCCTGTTAAATCACCAAACGGAAGTCATAGGGGCCCCATTATCCTAATCAGCCCAGGGCCTCCAATAGGTCAAAGACGGTACTGGTTGCAACGTCGCTAGCTGTGTGACACGTACCTACCACTCGCAGTGCAAACTACAGTGCGCCGTCGACCCTATGCACCCGGGCGCGTTAAAAGGTAACTGTTTCTTATGGATTGGATTCCCTTGTCTATACCTTTCACGGCGGGCACTCAGGCGCGTGTAAAGGTAGGTAACTAACGCTCATCAATAGCAGCATATAGGCAGGAAAATCCAATTAGTGCTGTATGTATGACATACGGTAGCGACGCGAGCATCAACTACTAGTGGTGCCAACTGGCCAGTCAACACTGCGTGTGGTGCGGCGCATACTCTATATCTTCAACATTACCAACTTATAGAAGATTGCTATCAACAAAAAAGTAGCAATGGTACTACACAGCGATTGCAACTTTATGGCGGTTGTAAAATAAGCAGCGAGTGCTACTATGCGCAGTTTCATTTTACTCAAAATGCTACTTGTGCCAACTTTACAGCAGCCTATAAGTTTGCATCGCTTTCTATTGCGTCTATGCAGAGAGGCCGACAGAGTTCTAGGAGCCTCTCTCTACGAAAGAATCTCTCTCTCTCTCTCTAAGAAATGATTGTATTCCCTGAATGCGCACGCATGTTTAGGCTATGCTATATGGGGAATGGATATGGCGATTGTTACAATCTGACTTGCCATATGTTGTTTTATTTATCACATTTTTCATATTAAATAAATACCTACCACACGAAACTCCATTATTCAGTAAATTTCAGAGCACAACTTATTTTTTTAACGAACTTACTGGTAATTGTTACAGGCAGTAAAAACGTAACGGACATTGGTGTGACTCGACGTCGCGGGAAGAAAGAGATCGGAGTGGACATCACCGGTGTCCTATAAGCATAGACTTGGGACTGCAAGACTGCAACCGAATACCACGAAACACAAAATAAATGTTGTAATAGAAAAAAAACAATAGAAGTCTGGATTCGGGTGTTAATAATATAGACAATAAACATCACAATGGAGTTGTATCAGAATTTGTGATCTCAGTTTCAACATGCAAGTAGCAAAAATACAAATAATTTTAGTTTATTTAAGAATACGTCTGTTTAGGTATTGAGAAGTATCAGTATAGTCGACTTTTATTCTACTCTTCACTTTGTTGTCCTATTTTGAGTTATCGAAATATAATAATAAATTAACAATATAAAATTATTTATTTGAGAACAAAATTATACGAATATACGAATTTTCATTTTCATTTCATGTTGAAACTAGAGACGTAAAAACAAAATACACCAAATTCTTGTCCTAGACTTGTAGAAAATAAAATTCGACTCGAAAATCTAAATTTTAGGATAGAAATAGATAAACTTTCTAATCTGATGCACATTTTTCGAATTTTGTAGATAAATAATAATTCTTATAATAGTATTTTTAAATAATTACACTATACATTATTAAATTTGAGCACCAAATCGTACTTAATACTTAGTCAAAATATTAAACTTAGGAATTGTAGTTAGCACAATGTTTGGAATCTTAATTATATCGTTTATTCTAAATAAAAATTCTAACTTTTGTCTTGTTGAATGGATTGTATTCGAAGCTTATTTAGGGATGAAATTAAATAACTCTTTCATCGGACTGACATAATTGTTCTTTTTTTGTATATAGATTTTACGGTCAGATTAATGAATGTGACCTTTTAATAACTTCCTGTTAAAAAGTCTTTTAAATTGAAACTTCTAGCACATAAGACTTAATTTAAGTTTATTTGTGGTTAACGCTTAATGCAATATTTATTATGTTAAGTTATGAATATGATGTTAGTGCAATAATATCTACTATTGAAAACTGTATGAAATTTATGTTACGTGTTTTGTTTTGTTTGTAACTGTGAATTGAATTTCTGGTGATCGTAAAATACTTATTCGGACACATCTAGAGTATGTAGATACATTTTCAGTATTACGTGTATGTATGATGTCGTTAGATATTTAGAATACTTTTTCGAACGTTTAACTATTGAAATTCGAATGGTTTTTATAGACTGTAGTATCATTAACTAAACTTTATTAAGTAAATTAAGTTATTGTTACTTTAAAATTTATTTGAAAGGTTTCCTTTAACTTTATTGAGTGGTGATGAATTGAAATGGTTAAATTGTTGTCACTTCTAGTGAGATGACTTTTTAGGCGTCCTCTTAGCTTTAAATAGTTTAAAGGCCTTAATTTTGGTAGCCTTGGAACATTTCTCACGATGTTAAAGAAAGCTAGAGAAAAGGTTTATATTTTATTTCTTTTTTCTTTATATTGACAATATTTCTCAGACTCAACGACACATTACTGCAGTTCCTAGACGAGATATTAACAATTCTATTTTTCATAATGATTCTTTCTTATAGATTCACTTAATTCGTATTACTCGAGGTGCACCACAAAAACTGTTATCGCAATGTATCTCACACATTCAAATACAATAGCCAACCAATCCATAATTTTAAACCTAATTTGATAAAATCGTTACCTAAAGTCCTTCAAAAGATTTAATTCTATTGTTCTACCTATTACCCAGGGGCAAAAAGAGGTGGAGGCCCTTAAATCTGGGCTAGATCACTAATAATTCGCATTCACCCCCCTGGTTTGGTGACCCATCGAAATTTGTTTTTTTTTATGTCTATTGTGTGGGGCCTGGATCACAGCCCCACCTGCCCTGTCTTAATCCGGCCCTGCATATTACTAAGGTAATAGATTGTTAAATAACTAGTTTGGTTCTTATCCTATCAGCTGCAATCTTGGGCACAATAAACCTTTATTACTATAATGAAATAATATGATACCAAAATTACAATGAATTCAAGTAACTTACTGCGTCAATCTTGCTTGCATAGAAATCTTGGCGTTGTCATATGAGTTTAAGTTTTGAGTACCTAGCATTTATGTTTTTTTTTTATAAAATACGCTTGAAATCATTATTTATCTTAATCTTCGACGGTTGACTGGTTTATTTGAATCCATTCTCGACATCACACAATATATCACATAATAAAAATAAAGTATACTCGTATCAAAAAGTAGTTTACGTTTCATAATAAAAGAAGAAAACAGATGAAAACTTTTGTACTTAATCAAATATATTTGCAGTGAAATTTCATAAAACGTATATTCACTCGCTAGTTGTACTTATAAGTAGGTACACGAGTAACTTACCTCTCCCTTTAGTTAAACTAATAAAACAGGATGGACGAAAAAGCCTTAAACTCTATAAAACTTTTATTTATTTATTTTATTCGACTCATCAATAACAATATCACATTTATTACTTAAAAAGAAAAACAAATAGGTACTACGAGTCTGTATGAATAATTTTGTTACGGTGCATACAGCAATTTCAAAATTTTTTGTACATTTATTGGCACAACTTTAGTCTCTAAATTTATTCCTCAAATATTTATTTGAGGTAAGTAAAATATTATTTAATCGAAAATGTTTTCTTTTTCAATGCTGGAAAAGATAGATGACAGATCAATGTTATCTGAATTTTCGTTACACGTCTTCATCAATCGACTTGGGGGGTGCTACGCTACGCTACTATCTTGGTTCGGAAAAGCCGTTTCGTAAATGGCATGATTGGATAACGTGAAATTAATTTTTTGAGCATATCAATGCTTGCTGAAATAAATTTCACAGTAGGTATCTCAATATATATATGTATAATGCGATTCAATTATGAATAGGAAAGCCAATGACCTCCATCTGTCAAATGTCTCTTGTAAAGTACAGTTTGCAAAAAAAAACGCTGAACACTTTTTTAGCACTCAGCTAATTCTAGAATAAAAATCATTAAACAAATAATGATAATTAATATTGGATGATATTTTTTTTTATTTATTTAGCTTTGGCTATGAATGGTTGATAACCTAAATCGTCAACCAAATGATACTTTATGTTGAGTTCAGAAACTCGATATAAAACTTTCGTTTACTTAAAGGGTGCATGTTCGTATGTGACCTGCATGATTATTCATAACTACTCCGGCGGTAATGCAGAGATAAGCGGAATTGAAGAGCTAGATTCTGATTAATGTTTTTTCTCACAGTCTTAATAAAGAAATATTATTAAAAATCGGTTGTTTTTTTCTCTCAATCTTAGTAAATTAATTTTATTAAAAAATCAGATGTTTTTTCTCACTGAATCAAAGTAAATAAGTTTTATTAAATAGAATTTTTTTTTGCTCACTCTACCTATTTGGTTTGAATTGACAGCTATGACGTCAAAATATGGCGCCCAGTCGGTCCTATTCTTAGTTGAATCGCAATATATATAGATGTATATTCTGGTATTATAATTTCACATTACCTGAATATAGATAGATGTACCTGATGGTACAATAATATTTCCAATAACCAAATGATGAGGCAACAAGATGTCGGCATATTTTCTTTGTTTTTTCAGTGTCAATTTGAAAAATTTTCATTTTCACGATTTTCATAATTTACGCCATAAACAAAAACTTTGATAGAAGTATACGGAATTTTCCACATAGTACTATATCTTCAATACTATATTAATACATTATCATACATGTGAAGATTTATATGTAAAAGCTCAACGGATTTCAATGAAATTTAGCATGCAGCAGACATCATCATCAGTACCTATCTATAATAAGAAAATAAGTGCTTCTTTTCCCGGAAAGGGAAAATAAGTTAAATAAAATTGTTATAAATTCCTGTAGGATTATAAAAAAAACGAAAAGGTAACCTAGGCTTCTTATTAAATTTTAATGACCACGCAGACTGAATCACGGGGAATACGATTAAAAAGTAGAACAGAAAAATTATGTTTCGTTCAATCAAATCTATTATATTGGTGATATACCTAGAAATTGGTGTCGATTCTGCCATGATCCTAACTATATAAACTTAAATTCTTCCATTCGTGTTTTTCTTTTTTCCCAAGGTTGACTGGGAGAGAATGCTATTAGCATTAAGTCCGCCTTTTGTACCATTCTTGTGTATTTTTGTCAATAAAGTTTCAAAATAAATTTGACAACAGTGCATCCTTGTCGTTCTCTATACAAAATGAAAAAGAGACTGATGTTAAATTTAGTATTAAGTTCAGAGAATCATGCCAGAATCGACACCCTATACCTAGTATTGAAGTGGCTAACAGACAAAGCATCACATAATCATCTCGTGTACCTATAATCTAGTTAACATGACAGTTTTAAATGGGTTAATTAAGAAAATATTTAAATTATACTTGCATTTCAAACTGTTTTCAGGTTACTTAGTCACAAGGTTTAATGGTTGTAGCAGACATATCAACACAGGAAGAGATGTCACTTTATCAACTCGAACCGTTTAGCATTTTTTTTTGTATAAAACCCCAACGCACACTAATCGGAATCTTAACGTATTCGCCTCGCCTCGGACAAGTTCGTGTCCCGAGGAGTAGCGATCCTTTTCCGAGTTGACATGTCTGCTACGACCTTAAGTAATTTTTTTTATTACACGTTCCGTGTATGGTAAGATTTAAGAAGTAATTATCTCAAACTAAAACTTATAAATTGCAATGTCAAACCATACTCTCTATTGTAATGGACAAGACTTATTTTAAAAGTTATAATGAATTTGATTCGCGTCAATTACTTCCTTATAGTTCTAATCAAGTTGTTAATTGTGTTTGACTATAATAATTAATACTAAATTGTTGTAGTTGTTCTCATAATGCAAGCATTACATGATGTATAATATATTGTCCCTGTTTCTTCATAAATATTTTACACTGATTTTGTGCCTCTATTATTTACTATTCCTAGACCTTTGCTTAATTACTCTCTAGTTAGACCGTGGCAGCGCAGATGACGTTGAAAAAAGCATCTTCCACCTAGTGGGGTCTAAGTCGTTTCCAGTCACTAAGTGTCGCCGCACACGGGCCACACGCCCAGACCCCTCTTTCCCAGTGGGACACTTTGAGCAAGTGCCGAGGGCCCCGCGATCGATAGGGGCCCACTTCAGATCAAATACAAAGTCCCTAGTTCCTGTTAGATCACCAAACGGGGGCCCTATAATCCTAATATGCCCAGGGTCTCCAATAGGTCAAAGACGTCACTGCACTCGCCACAGCCACAAACGCCGCCACGAGAAGCTAGAAGCGGCTACTAAAGTGGCTGAAGCGCGCGACAGCGGCTGACTAAGGTAAGGGAGAGAGGGGTGGGCATCGCGCGAGTGACGTATGACGGCGTTTTGTATCGGCGCATAAGTGGCCGGTGCGGGCCACAAGAAGCGAGCAACGACGATTTGTAGCGTGTGGCGGCCACCGGCGTACCGTGTGTGGTGAGTCCTTAAAAAATG